ATTTTTCGTGTCTCTATTATGAATCTTTCATTTCCTAATTTTCCGATTTTTCAACTTTTCCATTTTCCGATTTTTATTTTACAGTTTTTCGTTTTTGTAATATTTAGATATTTAGTTTTTGATTTACAATATACAAATTTTACGATGATTTTTCGTTTTTCGATTTTTAAATTTTTAAATTTTTCTAGATTTTTAACTTCTCAAAATCTTGATTTTTAATTTTTCGATTTCTACGATTTTTCTACTATTGCATTTTCTGAATTTATGTTACAATTTTTCGTTTTTACAATTTTTAGAAAACTATTTATCGATTTTTTTCACTTTTTTGTTATTTAATTTTTCGATTTTTTTATTTTGCGATTTTTGGTTGCTTTAATTTTTTGATTTATCAATTTCACAATTTTTCGACTTCCAGTTTTACGATTATTCGTTTCTCGAATTTGAATTTGTCATTTTCCAATTTTTCTATTTTTAAATTTTTGGCTTTTCGATTTTTCCGATTTTGCACTATTTTATTTTCGATTTTTATTTTACAATTTTTCATTTTTACAATTTTTAAACAATTTAATTGTGGTTTTTTCGCTTTTCGATATTTAATTTTTCTAATATTTTAATTTTACCATTTTTCGTTTCTTTAATTTTTTTAATATTATTAGTGATTGCAATTTTGATTTTATCAATGATGCTGGACTTGATACAAATACCAAATTTAACTTATTCACCAAATTAATTTCTGATAAAGTAAACATGGCCTTTCCTATAAAAGTAAAAAGAATAAAAAATGTTAAAAAGGATGATATTTACTGGTATGATGAGAAATTACATAAAATGAAACAAAATGTAGACCTGCTACACGAATTACACAATCAAAATCCTAATGACCCAACTTTTGTGACCTATTTTCAAAAATATAGAGAATTGTTTAGAACCGAAGTTAAGAAAAGAAAAAAAACCTTTAATGACAACCTAATTAAAAATTCTACTAATCTAGCAAAGGACAGCTGGAAATTAATCAATAGCAAACGATTAGCTAGTAGCAATAATTATTCAGAAAAACTGACTGCGGAGGACTTCTCTACATTTTTTGGTGATATCCCACATAATTTGGAGAATAATTTAAAATTATCAAATACGGATCCAATTCAGCTAATGCACAAAAATTTGACTCCGGTGAACTCTGTTTTCAATTTCAGAGAGATAACATTTAATGAAGTAAGAGATACAATTGATTCCATCAAAAAAAAGAAAAGTAAGGACTACTACAACATAAGTATCACCATTGTTAGGAATATTAAGAATCTCATTCTAGTTCCACTCACAAGATTGATCAATCGGTGTATTAATGAAAATCTTTTCCCATCCTGTCTCAAGGTGACCAAAGTAATCCCTATCCACAAAAAGGGCAACGTAGATGATGTTGATAAATATAGACCAATCTCTATAACGCCTATTTTTGGGAAAATTTTAGAAAAGATTATGCTTAAACAACTTGAGGAATACGTTACTAAACAAAACATATTGAACCAACGCCAATTTGGTTTCCAACATGGCAAAAGTACAACCATGGCTATTAATAGGCTTGTTGATGAGGTCATTACCTGTTTCGAAACAAAACAATTCTTAGGATGCACATTTTGTGATCTATCAAAAGCTTTCGATAGTATTAATCACAACATTCTAATAAACAAGCTTGAGTTGTACGGATTGTCAAATGGAGCCTTACAGCTTATTTTTAGTTTTCTCCACAATCGCCAGCAGGTTGTTCTGTTTAATAATGTATACTCCCAAATGACAATAGTTAACATAGGAGTGCCACAAGGCTCGATTTTAGGTCCGTTGCTCTTTTTGTTATACATTAACGACTTGGCTAAACATCTAGACAATAAAATCATACTTTTTGCGGATGACACTACTTGCTATAGTGTGGACTCAGACATCCCGTCTCTCTTGGACAGGATGGAACAAGATATTAATGCTGCTAGTGAATGGTTTACTTCAAACAGATTAACGCTTAATGTACTGAAAACTCAAAAAATGGTGTTTTCCCTTCGTTACATTTCTGAGATTGACAATCCGAGGTGTGTCAAATTTCTTGGTGTGACACTGGACCCGAAATTATGCTGGGATAATCACGTCATTGATATCTGTAAAAAATTGTCCAAATCAACTTTTCTTATTAGGAATTTGCAATATGAGGTTAGTGAGCAGATCCTTATGATGATATACTACTCTTTATTTCAAAGTATTTTTAGCTATGCCATTATAACCTGGGGCCACAGCAGTCATTTAAAAACCGTTTTTAAATTGCAGCGCCGAGTAGTTCGAATTATTGGAGGTCTATCTTACAGAGCTTGTGTTAAAAATTATTTTAAAGAAAAAAGTATTCTCACCGTGCCCTGTCTTTATATTTTATATGCTTTATTATATGTGAAGTCTAATCTCACCACTTATAATAATCTCACAAATATGTCATTAATCACGAGATCTACCCATAGCATTTACACCGAATTCTATCGTGTAGGTAGAAGTAGAAATGCCATCAATTATTATGGGCCCAAATTATTCAATAAATTACCGAAACGTATTGCTAACTTACCTTTTTCGCAATTTAGCCGTACTATAAGAAATTTTTTATTAAAAAACGCATTTTACTCTCTCGATGAATTTTTAAATTGTAGCGATGTCCTGTGTAGTTTTTACCATTCGATTTGAATTATCTTGTAAATTGTATAATTTTAAACTCTTTATATTGTAATTTCATCTGACTTGACTTATGTACCCTAACGGTCATTAATAAATACTTACTTACTTACTTACTTACTTACTTACTTGATTTTCCGTTTTTTATTTTCCGATTTTTCGATTCTTAAATTTTTAAATTTTTCAATTGCTTAATTTTTAATTACTTAAAGATTCGATTTTTAATTTTTCGATTTTTTTCGATTTTTCTGATATTCCATTTTTGATTTTTATTTTACGGTTTTTCGTTTTACAATTTTAGATAATTAATGAAAGGTTTTTTACCGTTCCGATTTGCATTTTACAATTTTTTCACTTTTTCAATATTTAATTTTTTGATTTTTCAATTCTGCAATTTGTTGTGTTGCCTTTTTTCTATCGCGCTTTTTTTGCCTTTATTTGGCGCTTTTTATGCCTTTTATATGTCGTTTTTTGGTGCTTTTTTGCATTTTTTCGAGATTCTTTATATTGCCCTTTTTTGTCACCTCGTATTTTTTAATCGCTGATTTTATCGCCCTTTTTTATTTTTTAATTTGTTTTTTGTCGTTTTTGCCTTTTTTTGTCACTTTTTCTTACCTTTTTTTTTTTTGAGACATTTTTAATCGCTTTTTTGTCATTTTTCTTCGCCCTTTTTTGTGTTTTTTGTCGCCTTTGTAGTGGTCTTTTTTTGGTCTTGTTTGTTTCCCTTTTTTGTTTTTTTGAACATTTTTTGTCACCTTTTTGACTCCTTTCCATCTTTTTGCGTCACAAATTTTCCGGGACCTTTGTCACTTTTTTTGTCGTCATTATTAGGCGTTTTTTATCGTCTTTTTTTGTGCCACTTTTTTGTTGCTTTTTTTTAGCATTTTTTCTTTTCGAAATTCTTTTCTTTTTGGTCACTTATTTTTTTGCCATGTTTCCTTTTTTGTCGGATTTTTTGACGTGTTTTTTTAATACAATTTTTCGTTTTTCCCTTTTTTCCACTTTCAATTTTAGAATTTTTGGTTTCTCGATTTTGAATTTTACATTTTCTAATTTTTCGCTATTTCAGTTTTTCGTTGTTTCAATTTTTTGATTTTTCAATTTTACAATTTTTTGATTTTTTTCTCTTTGTCACCCCTTTTTTGACTTCTCCTTTTCAGTCTTTTTTCGAAACGTGTTTTAGTCCTTTTTTGTAGCATGTTCTCATGTTTTTGTTACCTTTTTTTTGACACATTCTTAATGGCCTCTTTGTCATTTTTTTCGTCATTTTTTCGCACTTTTTTTGACTTCTTTTTTCAATCTTCTTGCATCGTAATTTTTTTGTCGCTTTTTTATGCCTTTATTTGCGTTTTTTGCCTTTTTTGACACTTTTCTTTAACGTCTCTTTTTTAGGTCGTTTCTTTTGAAGCTTTTTTTGTCTATTTTTATCGTTGTTTTTTGACACATTTTTTATCGCATTTTTTCGCCTTTTTGTGTTGTCATTTTTCTATCGCCCCATTTTTTTTGTCGCCTTTCTTAATCTCCTCTTTTTTTCGGTTGAGTTTGTTTCTAAATTTTTTGGGCCTTTTTATGCCATTTTAAATTTTTTTCACACCTTTTTGACTTTTTTTTAGTCGCATTTTTTGGCACATTTATTTGGCTCTTTTTTGTCATCTGTTTTCGTTGTTCTTTGTTTCGTTTTCCCGCCCAATTTTAATTACTTTTTTTCACATTTGTCGGGTCTTTTCCACCTTTTGACGCCTTTTTAGCACTTTTTGGCGGGAAAATTTAAATTGGCGCGCAAAAGTAAAAAAATTCTTATTTTGACTCTAACACTTATGGTAATTTCAGTACTGAGATGACCCTCAAAAACACGTTTTTTTCAAGCAACCACCCCCTGTGAAACTCTACAGCATGGTCCGATTTCTTCTACTATTAAAAATTTTCGAAAAAAATTTCCGGATAAGTCAAACTCGGTGTCCGTCTAATAATAACACGTCGTTTAACCCGCCACTGAATCCCCGTCTATTAATACCGCGACGCCGATGCGTGGTCGCGCTTCGACACTACAGTCCTGTCCTAATTGCGGCCCAAATCGAGGTTGGCGCGCCCGTCGGCAGATGGCGCTTCAAAGTCCGAAAATGCAATTTTCGGCGGGTCCCCGAGAATCTCCGACGTCCAAATACCCAAGACGGCCGGTAATTGTCTTGGGCGGTCACGTGACCGATGATAATGACGTTTTATGTGTAAATGAAAGCGTCGGGACGCGTCCATTTCCAAATTTAGCCACGTCGCCGCTTGGAATTGGTCGGGAATCTTCGGCCCGATCATGCAATGTGAATCATTGCGCCAAATGTCAGTTTTTATGCGAAATGCTACTATTTTGAGACTTTAGTTTTAGAGACTTTGTTGGCATTGGCATAATTTAAGTGAGTATTTTTTGTGGTGGTTTTATGGCGCTTTTGGACTGTTTTGAGTAGTTCTTGGCTTTTTTTGACGGTTTTGGCTCCTTTTTTTGCGAAAAAACGGGAAAAATGGGTTAAACGGGGCGGATGAGCTAAGGGTTATAAATAGGCTTGCATAAGCAATTACTCGATAATTTTTGAAAAATAGAACGACATCAAGTATTGACACCAGGGCGTAAAAATAGATCGGGTTTACACAAATAGGCTCTAGAATGGCTGCTTGCTTTTTTATAGATGGAAAAGTAGCGCTGCTTTTAAACTAAATAGCAGGTTGTCATTAATGCTTTTAATTCGTTTGCGGTGATTGTGTATTGTAGCTGTCGTAAATCTAGGCCAATTATATTGGATGACAATTTGATTTAGTTCTTGCCAAATCTCCACTTTGTGCTCATGTCGGCCTCAGCGGATCGGAATGGCTATTATTGGTCAATTTCGTCCACGTGACGCGCAGAGTGCACTTTCGAAGAGAATTGTAACAAGTTGGCGTTGATTGCGATAATTCCGATAACCCTATTGTTGTAGTAAAAATTCGGACGATTTATCTACAACAATGCCATTGTGTGGCCACAGTGTTGTAAAGTCAGGAAGTGAACGAAATTAAATTTCTGTACGATATGTATCGAAAGCGACTAAATCTGTCTGGAATGCCTATGTTCGATTTTACACGATTGTCACCTTTTTGGTGCTCTTACATATGACAGTGCAAATTTTGGTATTTTTATCTTATTCCGCTTGACGTAAATCGAGAAGTACAGATTTCCCGATAACGAACTAACTTTGATAACTTGTGCTGATAACGAATTGTCCACGACTTCCTTTAATACAAATTTGTTCTGTTTTCAAATAGGTTACGTAACTTACGAATTCACAGGTTTATCATTTTGAACTTTTTGTTTCAACGAAAAGATGCTTCAGTCGAGTTTCTAATAAAATTAGAGGGATAATACGCCAAAACTTGTACTAAAAATAGAAAAATATGTAAAAACAAGTGAAAAACGTGGGTAGTTTTCAAGTTGGAGGAGGCATAAAGTGGCGCCAGATTTGCGCGTGACGTCATAAGAACATCCGAGCGATAGGGGATGAGAGAGACCATTTTTTTATTATCTTGGTTTAATTGATATTTTTCTGTAGGTTTTAATTTTTTCTCTTAATGTCTGTTTAAACGTAAGTCCAAAAGTTGCTACTATGAAATGAACATGACTGAAATGTTAAAAATATCAAAGTTAAAAAATGAAAGTGCATTTTGGAAGTTTAACATGTTAAAACAAGGAACTTTCTTCTAAAAAATTAAAAAACTCAAATCAAATTTTAATAATAATATACAGGATGTTTACGTTTACCCATTTCATTTATTATATATTTTCTGTGACAATTTCGAACCGTTTTTCAAAAGGAAATGATATACAGGATGTTCCAAAAATGACGGAAACGCTCGAAAGTACATTGTTAAGAAGACTCTGAAGAACACCAAAGAAATGGTTAAAGAAAGTCCCTGAACCAAATAAATGAAAATATTTTTTTTAAACTTCAAATTGACGAATTAACTTCGTAGTTCCATGTTTTAATGTGAATTTAATTGACAGTCTAACATCTGTCAACAATAAAAAATGACATTGAAACAATCAGAATTCCAAAGTCAATTCTTCAAATTTGAAGTTTAATATTTTCAAAAGTAAGTTGAAGGGATTTTTTTAACTACTTTTTTGACAACTTTGGAAATTTACCAAAAGACATTTTCAAGTAGATTTCCACCAAACGTTAATTTTGACCTCACTTAGATAAGTCCTACTATTTTCCCACTGAAATATGACCATTTTCAAGATTTAAACCAATTGGATTTGAAATCGAATATTTCTAAAATTTTGCGCAGGATCACACTATATTTTTCGAATAAGCACATCGAGGTCTATATACCAGAGTTTTTGGATTTTTTGACAACTTTTTGAAAATCCCAATTTTCCAATGAAAATTTTAACCCATTTTCCACCATTTTTGAAAATGACCGAAATACATTTTCTTGTAGATTTCGACCTGTAGAAGTTACTTTCGGCTTTGTTTTTTCGAAAACTCCTACTATATTTTCGGAATCGCCCATTGAAATATGCCAATTTTTATGATTTTAAAAAAATCAGATTTCAAGCCGAATATTTCGAAAATCGTAAGAGGAGATAACAAACACGCTATATTTTTTTAATCCGCGCGGAGATCTAGACTTCCAGAATTTTTTAATGGATTTTTTTGACAACTTTTTCAAAATCCCAATTTTCGCGAATGACAAATGACAATTTTTAGGATTAAACAAAAATTGGTTTCAAGCCGGAATATTTCGAAAATTGTGTAATCAGAGGATTTTTCGAATCAGCATGTGGAGAGTAGATCTCGATATGGAGAAATTTAGAATTTTTGTGGATTTTTTGACAAGTTTTTCAATATCTCAGTTTCCCCTAGTGAAAAATTCCACCTATATTTTCCAACATTTTCGAAAATTACCTAAATACATGTTCTTGTAAATTTCCACCAGTAGAAATTACTTTCAGCTTTATTTCTTCCATAACTTCTACCATTTTTTCGGAATTGCCAACTGTGATATAGCAATTTTTAGGATAAAAAACGGATGTCAAGCCGAATATTTCTAAAATTTTGCCCAGAACCACAAACACATTATATTTTTCGAATGAGCAAGTCGAGGTATATATTCCAGAATTTTTGGTGGATTTTTTGACAACTTTTTCATAATATCAATTTTCCAATACGAAAATTTTGACCTATTTTTCAACATTTTTTAAAATGACCGAAATACATTTTCTTGTAGATTTCGACCTGTAGAAGTTACTTTCGGCTTTGTTTTTTCGAAAACTCCTACTATTTTTTCGGAATCGCCCATTGAATTATGCCAATTTTTATAATTTAAAAAAAATCAGAATTCAAGCCGAATATTTCGAAAATCGTAAGAGAAGATAACAAACACGCTATATTTTTTTAATCCGCGCGGAGATCCAGACTTCCAGAATTTTTTAATGGATTTTTTTGACAACTTTTTCAAAATCCCAATTTTCGCGAATGAAAAATGACAATTTTTAGGATTAAAAAAAAATTGGTTTCAAGCCGGAATATTTCGAAAATTGTGTAATCAGAGTATTTTTCGAATTAGCATGTGGAGAGTAGATCTCGATATGGAGAATGTCAGAATTTTCGTGGATTTTTTGACAAGTTTTTCAATATCTCAGTTTCCCCTAGTGAAAAATTCCACCTATATTTTCCAACATTTTCGAAAATTACCTAAATACATGTTCTTGTAAATTTCCACCAGTAGAAATTACTTTCAGCTTTATTTCTTCCATAACTCCTACCATTTTTTCGGAATTGCCCACTGTGATTTGGCAATTTTGAGGATAAAAAAACGGATGTCAAGCCGAATATTTCTAAAATTTTGCCCAGAACCACAAACACATTATATTTTTCGAATGAGCAAGTCGAGGTATATATTCCAGAATTTTTGGTGGATTTTTTGACAACTTTTTCAAAATATCAATTTTCCAATACGAAAATTTTGACCTATTTTTCAACATTTTGGAAAATGACCGAAATACATTTTCTTGTAGATTTCGACCTGTAGAAGTTATTTTCGGCTTTGTTTTTTCGAAAACTCCTACTATATTTTCGGAATCGCCCATTGAAATATGCCAATTTTTATAATTTTAAAAAAATCAGAATTCAAGCCGAATATTTCGAAAATCGTAAGAGGAGATAACAAACACGCTATATTTTTTTAATCCGCGCGGAGATTGTGACTTCCAGAATTTTTTAATGGATTTTTTGGCAACTTTTTCAAAATCCAAATTTTCGCGAATGAAAAATGACAATTTTTAGGATTAAAAAAAAATTGGTTTCAAGCCGGAATATTTCGAAAATTGTGTAATCAGAGTATTTTTCGAATCAGCATGTGGAGAGTAGATCTCGATATGGAGAATGTCAGAATTTTCGTGGATTTTTTGACAAGTTTTTCAATATCTCAGTTTCCCCTAGTGAAAAATTCCACCTATATTTTCCAACATTTTCGAAAATTACCTAAATACATGTTCTTGTAAATTTCCACCAGTAGAAATTACTTTCAGCTTTATTTCTTCCATAACTCCTACCATTTTTTCGGAATTGCCCACTGTGATTTGGCAATTTTGAGGATAAAAAAACGGATGTCAAGCCGAATATTTCTAAAATTTTGCCCAGAACCACAAACACATTATATTTTTCGAATGAGCAAGTCGAGGTATATATTCCAGAATTTTTGGTGGATTTTTTGACAACTTTTTCAAAATATCAATTTTCCAATACGAAAATTTTGACCTATTTTTCAACATTTTGGAAAATGACCGAAATACATTTTCTTGTAGATTTCGACCTGTAGAAGTTATTTTCGGCTTTGTTTTTTCGAAAACTCCTACTATATTTTCGGAATCGCCCATTGAAATATGCCAATTTTTATAATTTTAAAAAAATCAGAATTCAAGCCGAATATTTCGAAAATCGTAAGAGGAGATAACAAACACGCTATATTTTTTTAATCCGCGCGGAGATTGTGACTTCCAGAATTTTTTAATGGATTTTTTGGCAACTTTTTCAAAATCCAAATTTTCGCGAATGAAAAATGACAATTTTTAGGATTAAAAAAAAATTGGTTTCAAGCCGGAATATTTCGAAAATTGTGTAATCAGAGTATTTTTCGAATCAGCATGTGGAGAGTAGATCTCGATATGGAGAATGTCAGAATTTTCGTGGATTTTTTGACAAGTTTTTCAATATCTCAGTTTCCCCTAGTGAAAAATTCCACCTATATTTTCCAACATTTTCGAAAATTACCTAAATACATGTTCTTGTAAATTTCCACCAGTAGAAATTACTTTCAGCTTTATTTCTTCCATAACTCCTACCATTTTTTCGGAATTGCCCACTGTGATATGGCAATT